GACATATTCAGAATATAAGCCATAACTATGAAATACTCATTGGTTATTTTAAGATGTTAAATTACCGATTAAATAATACAACAAAATAGTGACTAATTAAGACAAATCAAAAAATCTAAATGATCAAATACCAAGTAAATATATATTACATCATAGTGGGTCACAAATTAAAAAAAAAAGAAAAAGGAGATAATCATTGTAATTGGCCAAATTTAGAGCACTAAGTCATGTTTATGGGAAGTTATGATTCTAAAAAAAAATAATTGTAAGCCTCGTAGGTCAAAATATTGAAAAACTGATCAGAATTTTTGTTTTTTCTATTCAAATATTCTATAAATTTTGAACTATTGAGTTTCTGTTTTGTACAAGACAAGCTGAGTTATATTGCAATGTATTATTTCATGTTGTTTGATATTCAGATAAGTTGTCATGATGGGCAAGCAAAAAATGGGACCACATCATAGTTATTTGATATTACTGGACATTAAAGAGCATCAACTGTGTTCTGATCAGTTTCATTTCTTTCAGTTGTCATAGAAAGCTGCATTTATTCACCAGTGGACGCATGGTCAGTGAGGTAACCACCCTTGTAAAGAACTATAGCCTACCATTATCAATCAAAATCATATGTAATGCAACTATCAATTAATCCTAGACATTGATGAGAAAGGGGCCAATCTGACTATGATTTAATAAGGGTACCATACACTCAGTAACAAAACCCACTAATGACCTTCTTACTGTCAGATAAGCTGACCATCTCTGCTGATGTCTCCTGTTTCTCGTCCTCTGTCTGCAGCACAGTCCTTGTTACTAATTTAAATCTCTGTCCTTTATGCTTTACAAGATGTAATTCTCTTTTACTGTCAGAAGTGCTCTGCTTAGGGTGATGCAGAGAAAATAATTATGAGGGTCACTTTATAATTGACCTCTCTGTAACCTTTTGCATGCTGTGTTTGTGAATGCGTGGATACAGAAAAATAATTTCTGTCTAGTTGGTTAAGATGTTGAGAGAAACAGACACAAACACAAAGTCACATACAAATCCAAGGACAGGTCTTTTATTTACTTGTGAAACCAATTAAACACTGTTTTTAAATGGAGGAGAAACTGTTAAACTCACTGTAGTCGCATACAGCTATTGTTCTTTTTTTAACCATGTCTTTTTTTCTTCTTCTTTCATCGGATTAGTCTCTCTCCATCCACTGCTATATTGTGCAAACAAACCAAGAGAGTTAGGTCACCAGTGAGCCTGCGTGGGTTTTGGACCACAAACATTTCCATCACTCTGTAGTTGCAAAAGTAACAATCTTTACACTGTTAACGGAGACCAACAAATAACACACGCACAGAGAACAGAAAGAAACCACTCATTCACTGCTGATGTAACAGCTTTTTATCTGTCGTTACAACACTATACTGGCTATGTAGTTTTAGGTTTATCCGTTTCATATCCATCTGGCAAAAATATGTATTCAGTGCACTGAAGAGAGCGTTAACATTGAAGACATAATGAGGGTATAAAGACAGAGAGATGGGACTTCAATTATGCAACAAACGTCACACATTACATCCATCTCAGCCAGACTCAGCCCCGTTCCTCTGTGATCAAACAGTGTTTCTACAAGAGACAAAATCTCTATTGTACTCTTGCTGTCTTGCCTTTCTTGTCAGCCTGCTGGTTAGTTCATGGTGACAGAAATGGTTGAAAGATTGAGTCAATCTTAATCAGATCAGTCTACCGACACCACTGTATTGCTATAATGCATAATTGTGCTTGGACAGTACTGCATACTGTTTGGAGGAAGCATGTAGGGTCAGCTAAACATGGAGATGTTAGGATGACAGACACGTGTAGCTTGGGATATTAAAAATCTTTTCTGTCATTGTCATTGGAGGAGGGACGAAGGGTGGTCATGACAGTTGTCTGGCGCTTTGACCCATACGATAGCGAAAGAGTTCACAGAGAAGACAGAGAATACTTTACGGGGAGAATACAATGTTGACATGACAGTGACAGAAAGTCTAGAGGAGGCGCACCTCTGGGGAATCCTCTGCTCTTAACTAATGTTAAAAAGATGGAGGTCAGTTCACTCCATGGTCACTTAAACCTGTGCAATTCAAAAAAGGCAAAAAACTCAGGCCAACAGCCCTAGTCCTCATCTCAAACACTCAGTCTCTCGCTTATCCCAGTCTCTGAGGAGATCTGAGCTACATAATAGACACAACCCTGTCACTAGAGTCTGCTGTAAAAATAAATACAAATCATAGAAGGTATAAAATAGTCTTTATGCACATGATTTGCAAAAAAAAAATCTGTATAAAAAAACACAAGCATCCCAAGAAAGACTAGTGACGTTAGAAATGTAGTTGAAATCCACCCGTCACCACCACAAGAAATGATTTCCTTGTAATAAAGTGATTACCTTCATTAGTCTGTCTGCAACGTCAACCCCAATGTACTCTAACACTCCTATGTAAAAGTGGCATACATATGTTTTCATTAATATACTGACAAAATGTAATATTTTAAATGCTGTAGAGTATGGTTAGGCAAGTTTTAAACCTGTTCACTAGACCAGAAACAAGTTTTGTAGCTCTGGTTTTGGTTGGTTTGTCTTTGTTTAGGAAAACAAAATTGGCCATGAACAGTAGTGAATGTGCTAAATTGTCTGATCACTGAAGTCTTCACCACAGCAGTAAAACACGTCTTGATTTCCATACTGGAGATTGACCAACAAACACAGAAAAAAAAACATTCCAGTAATAAATATCTCAGAAACTTGTCATAAATCAATAATAGTAAATAAATAGTAAATAAACTATAAATAAATACTTAATAAGGGAAAAGGTTCCCGTGATTTGTCACTCATTTTGCGCCTCAGTTCAATCCTTTCCAGGACAGGGTGTCACTTCCAGAGAAGAAGAGAGCGTCCTGCTCTTCTTCTGCGACCCAGGTAACCAGGAGGCCTGCCAAGGGCCGGACCATGTAGCGCTTAGGGGGGTCACAGAGTCCAGTAAGCACCAGGTGGGACTGCTGGATTGCGGGGGGAGTTAAACTGAGGGAACCCCCATCCAGAGCGTCTCTGTCTCTGCATGACTCCTACCAGACCGAGTCATGGACCTGGGCTGGAACAGTGAGGTTAGGAGCCGGGGGGTTGGGGTTGCTGGGCCAGACAGTTACGAGGGTCGCAGGGAGAGAGAAGGGTACTGCCGCTGGACAGGACTGCATGATGTTCCTGGAGGTCTGCCAAAAATTTAGGACTGAAAGAATGCAGAGAGACAGGAGAGGAAAAATGACATTGAGTAAAACAGACAATGGGGTAAGAAGAGGGAACAGTTATTGGAAGAATAAGATTACACCAAATCAGCAAACAAAAATGCAACATGTGATGAGGGCAAAAAGACTATTGTGGTTTTCTGAAAGGAAAAGTTCAACTTTTTGTATGTAAAATACACTTATTCACTTTCTTACCAAAGGCTGAGATGAAAACATTGACACCACTCTAATGTCTGAATGCTAAATATAAAGCTGTTGCAAGCGGCCAATTAGCTTAACTAATTGTCAGTTAGCCCAGCTTCACCAAAAGGTATCAAAATCTCCCTGTAGTCTGTTGTCATTGGGAGGTTGCCAACCAGAAAGAGAGTCCAGAAAGTTATTGCAACCGGCCAAGGGATAGAGATCTGAAAGGATGAAGTTAGCATTACCCTACTTCCATCATCAAAAAGCCTATGGGATTTTTCCATTGTATTTTGGATCATTGCAGAAAACACACTCTGGGGTTTGTTAGCAGCACTTGTTAGCAGCTGATATTTTAAGACACATAAAAGCTCCACTGACGTAGAACAAAACATGAAAGTCTATCTAAAACCCCACTCAAGACGAGGGAACCAGAAGCGCTAACATGCTAACTCATAACTAGCTTTTATTTGTGTGATGCTAAGCTAATTGGCTTTGACTGGCAACATCGTATTTAGTGTACAGACACAAGAGTGGTATCAATTTTTTCCGTTTGCTTGGCAAGAAACCAATAAACATTTTCCCCAAAAAGTCAAACTAGTCCTTTAATACCACCCAGAGACAAAGAAGAGGCTGTTCATGCCATATTTCAACCAAAGTATTTGGTGAGAACATCTACAAAACGTAACAGTTTTGAGAGAGACTAACCAGCACAACATTAAAACCCAACATGGTCTCAGATCTGTCAGCAGTATCCTAGTTGCCATGTATGAATGTTTCAGTACACTGACAAAAATAATGTTGTTGGTAAACTCAAACATTCCTGGCAATGGATGTCTTGACTTTTAACACACAGGTGAAGCTAATGATGCTAACTACAGCTAATGGCTAAGTGGCATGGCTTTATGTGACACTTCCATCATTAATCAGATCTTTTCCTTCAATGGGAAGGGGCTGCTATTAAAAAAAAAAAAAGTTCCGTAAGAGGGGAAACTACAGTGCACATCCACAGTTAGTCTTGAACTTTGAAAGTACATCTTTATTTTAATAAAAATTGCAATTATGTAAAAGCATGTATTTAATACTGCCATGCAAAACTTCACATGCAATGGAAAATGACAACTCCTTCACTCCCCAGTGTTAATCATTTATGCAAGTCATGGGCCTCAGCCATAACCTGTTAATAACTAGTTAATAATAAAGTGTGAAAACTGAGAGCATGCAGCACTATTTATCCTGTGTGGATGCAGGTGCGCAACCACAAAAAAAAAAAAAAGATATGTGCATATGTGCATTTAAGAGAATGTGAATAACATGTTTATTATGGCGTGTGATAGATAGATAGATAGATAGATAGATAGATAGATAGATAGATAGATAGATAGATAGATAGATGTCGATGAGCCTACTACTAGCAGGTTCTACAGCTTGTTACCTGCGCGCTAGGGAGGTTCTCCCTCGCCTTAGTTGTGGGGAGAGTGACGGTACTGAGGCAGCAGGCTGCTGACAATCTACAAGAAACTGATAAATTAGACAGATATACAGAGTGGTGACACTCAGGGTTAGACAATAGGACAGAGAAATCACGGAGGACAAGACAGGGGAAGACCTTGTCAGAGACAGTGAGAGTACTACTGGTTTGCTGCTAAGGGAGGTCTGATTTTTATACTTAAGCACCAGTCTGATCCTGGTGTGTGTTCAGTTGTTCTCATGGCGCTGCTACACAATAGCATGGTGCTATTTATTAATTTGCATAATTGAGGGGATAATCATCCTCATTTTGTTTCTCCTGGATGAGAAATGTGACTCTCCTGCCATGGAAAATTTGTGTTTCGGGATGTAATGAATGGGAAAGCCTGAGAGAAGGGAGCAAGAAAGGAAATATGAGCAAAAGGAAGAAAGAAAAACAAGATACATAACCTAAGTCAGTGTCAATTACAGTGTATGATTTCATAGTGTGGATGTAAAGAAACCAGTCTCATCTGAGCACACTGACAGGGCCAGTCTCTGCACACTTAGACAATCAGCACAGGAGGTGGAGAACAGACAAAAAACAGAGAAAAGACACACAGACATGGACATATTTACACACACTTGCAAACCCAACTTTATATTGATTTGTACAGCACAGAAAGAGGAGGACAGACACAGCGGGGCTATTGCTGAACAATCCCATCCTGCTCAACTCCACAACACCTGCTGCTCTGTTATTTTCATCAGGTTTTTTTCCACAGTCCACACCTAGTCATGTTCCACATTCTTACTTAAAAGTTTTTTATATGACATCTTGTTTAAACTGTTTCACTTATATGATTATCTGAGGTAGGATAAGGGACAAGGAGAGAGCGGTCAAACAGCATTTGACAGGAAGGAGAAATGTTTTCAGATGCTGCCATCTAGTGGAGAAAAATGGGAATACAGTGAGAGGTTGGTCGAGACATTGGGGCATCAGTGGAGGGAGAAATTGTTTAGCTTCCTTTCTGAAACTACACATGGAGTAGGAGGTAGGAGGTCGAGGCACAGAGAGGAGGTCTGACTGGTTTCCATACTACTGTAGGCAACAAGGCTATTAAACACACTTTCAGCCTGTCAAATGCTTTTTGGCAGAACTTTAGATGCAACAAAAAAGGCATGCAAGGATGAACTGTAGGAAGTGTCATTTTACAACATATAATTACAACATATTAGTTAGTTAACATATTAGTTTTATGGAAGAGATGAGATGAATTACATTTTATTAATAATAAAAAAAAAAATCTAACATGTAATCTACAAACTTTTCCACAGGGAGGTGCTGTGAGTCACTGGATGCTGAAGCAGAGGCTGCAGCCATTTTTTGCTTTGTTTTCACTTTAAAACACCTCTCAGTCTTCTACAAGAGTGATACATGATGTCACAGTTGATGGTAGCAGCTATGCAGATAGATGCCTGATATCACATTCATAGGGACGTTCATTATTAAACTCTATGCAGTCCAACCTTAACAATAACAAAAAGGCTGATCAGTGCTGCTTTGAGGATGGAGCAAGCTGTCAGGGGCCTCCTGTTCCTGAGTGTTGCTGCATGTTCAAACCACAAAAATGCGAAACCAGTTTTTCCTCCTCTCTGTATCTGTACTTAATCCAGTGGAATTAGGGGAACTGTGTGCAAAGATGGGTGTGGCGATGACGATGAATCATCGCCTTCTCCGAAGGTGAGGTGATACTGAGGTAGGAGTACCAGTGCTGTAAGATAGAGACAGTCGACCTATGTCATGTCTTGAATAAATGAGTCGTCTGAACTCTAAGGTGAGCAGCTCAGGGTCTACCGTGATTGGCTGGGTGGCCAGGGACAAATGAGGGAAACTGATGTTAGGTGGAAGAGTTGGAGCTGAGGTCTGGATTGTTTCAGAAAGTGCGTGTGAAGTCCACACAGACATGGATGGACAGGCGGTTAGTTCGACAGAGGGAGGGCTAGTGAGGGTCAGGGAGGTGTTCAGGGTGTGGGTGGTGATAATGGAGGGGCTGTGGAGCCTGGTGGGACTGGAGGGAGCTGTGAAAGCGCCTCTGCCACTTACTTTGGGCGGGCTGCTTTTAATCTTGGGCACTTTAGCGCCGCGGCCACGGTGAGTCTGCTCGTGATCGAACTCCAGATCCTCCAGCCGTTGGGTCAACGCCAGCTTCTGTTGGATGGCCATACGGAGGAGGGAGTTCAATGTCTTTTTCTCATCCTCTGCCGCCGCCAGCTGCCTCTGCATCTCATCCAGCTGGGTAACATATTCGTCACATCTACAGAGAGAGAGAGAGAGAGAAAAGTTACAGAGGGAAGAGACAAAGTTTTAGTGGGATATTTCTCTGACACAAGCAAGTATATATCAAGGGAAGTCAAAATATTCACTTCCCCAGCCTTGTGGCCTCAGATTTACCCTCTCACCTTGTGGCAAACATGGCCCTGAGAGACGAGAAGGTGGCTGCGTCTTCTTTAAGAGCCTTCAACTCGTTCCTCAGCTTCATCATGGTCTCTGTCACCATCGACTTTTCATTTTCGTACTTGCTCTTCAAATTTGCCAGTGCAACCTCTGCTGTCTGCAATGCGGATAATTTAACATATCATCATTACACCATGACGGCCTGATTCAGATGACATCTGACACAGAAAGGGCAAATAAGTTTGCGTGGATATTACAAAGGAAATTCCTCTTTCACCTGTTTATTGGCTTTCAGCACCAGCCTGAGTGTGGCTATCTGCTCTCTTTTGGTACTAAGCAGGGATTTTAGTTTGAGTATCTCCTCCATGCACAACTCCTTGTCCTTGTCAAGCATAGGCGCCAACTCTCTGGCTGCAGCCCTCTGTCTGGACAACTGCAGTGAGCGATCCACAGCCCGCTGGAGGTGTTTGATCTGGTCTCTGATGATGGCGTTCAGGTTGTAGATATTCATGGGCTCCTTCCGCAGGTCCCCACCTGCCTCTGAGGGCACTGGAGATGGGCAAGGTGAGATGCTGATGCTAGGGGAGCCCGTGGGGTTACGGGTGGGGCTGCTATTGCAGGAGTCCACTGTGTTGTTTGTTGTCTCATTGTGATGGCCGTCTTTGGATGGGGAGTCCATGGGACTTCGTGGGGGTTCGGAGGAGCAGGCTGCTGATGCTGCAGCGAGGCGTCGTGCCAGGCGGGGGGAGAGCAAAGCCCGATGGTCATCCGAGCCTTTCAGGCTGCCACTGCGTGTGACGCGGCTCTGGCGGTAGTAGTCCAGCATGACACGGTTGGGCGTCTCGTTGTTGCACAGACAGACATGATGGTAGAGCTGCGCCAGCTCCTCACTGAAGGTTACCAGCTCATCTTGTGCTGTGTTCAGCATGCCCTGGCTCTCGGTGGCTGTGCTCGCGGCTGCTCGAAGCTCTGCCTCCAGACTTGCCACCTTCTCCCTGCTTTCACGATAACTACGCTCCAAATGTGTTACCTGCTTGGAAGAAATCAGTTGAACATTTGGAACATTACAGGGTGCAAAACAGAACTGAGTTAGCATCCAGTCAAAAGGATATTTGGTTGCAAAAGTCAAATGACGCACAACTATACATGTAACAATGACAAACCTGTTCAGTCAGTGCCTGGACCCTGTCGTCACTGTGGCTCTCTCCGTGCCCTTCCACAGCCTGGTTGTACTTCTCCTTCAGCACCTTGAGCTCTGCTTTCAGGTCGATCACCTCTGTCACTGCCACCTTGTACTTACACTCCAGGACCTCGAAGCCATTGATGTCTAGGTCACAGTGACCATTGGCTGGTGGTGATGAGGAACCACCATCGGGTTTCTCACTCTCCTGTGGGTCATCCAGCTCTTTGTCTCCATTCAGACATTTCATACCGTTGACGCGCTCCGTGAGGCGATGAACCCGCTCATTCTGCTCGCTCAGGGCGCCCTGTGTGTGCTGAAGCTGGGTCTGTGACTCCTGCAGGTTCATGAGCAGCACCGCCTTCTCACGCTCCACCTGCAGGATGGGAGGATAAATGGGAGGCAGTCAAGACAGTGACGGAAGAATACAGCTGCATAGGTGTTACTGATATAAAAAAAACTGTGAAAGTGTTTTAAATCCAAGGCTTTTCACTTTTATAACTTTATATATTTATATATTATTATGTAATACACTGCACTGATGCGTGACTTCCAAGTTCTGACAATCAGCTACAGGCAAATTTCACCTAAAGCATTTTCTCATAATAAAATTAAGATGAAAACAGCAATATTCAGACGCTGCTGATATAGCCTACAGTATGGGCAGGACTCAGGCTCACTTACACAAATGTATAATCAGTATGACCTGCACAACTCCATAATATTAAGGAGCTTACAAAGATAAAGACAACGTACTATGCAACCACCATTTTTAAGCAGCAAGAGAACAAACACAAGCAAATGTCTTTGGACCAACAATGCATCAGTTGACCTGTATATCTGACTGTATACATGTGTGTAATAACGTGTTGCTCAGCTTGCTTGACTTAAAAACTGTTGGTAAGGATTAGGGGTGTAACAATACACAAATTTGCATTAAACCGTTCGGTACATGGCTTTCAGTTCAGGACAAATTACAAACCTAACTAATCCTATGACATTTGGAAAATAAAACATACAGCTTAAATTGTGGGACACATGATGTTCTCGCTCAACATGGCAGCACACATGACTTAACAGGCAATGAGCTGTCTGCCCCTCTCACCCCAAACCAATATATTTTACTCCAGTGAGACACACTTGGAGGCAGCTATGATATGCTAGCTCATTGCAGTGCTGTTAGTAATGCCATTACCAGACCAGAAATAGAAGATCCTCTGATAACCTACAGGTTTGGAAATTGGAGCCACTTTGGCTTCACTTTGAATTATGAGGGTGATGGTGAGGAAATGGTGGCTTGAAAAACAACGGTATGTCACATCTGCTGCAATAGGTTACATCAGTGGGAATATTTCAAACATGACTTCTCATTTATCCATACATCACCCATGTGTGTCAATAGATGGAACTAGATGAAAACAAGGAGCAACACAAGCTACAAGCTGTTATCCCTGCAGCATTTAGGCAACCATTCCGAACTGACTTAAACATGGAAAAAGGAATCACCATAGCAACTGATAATGTTACATTTATAGACACAGATATGAGACCTTACTCTGTAGTGGAAAATGTAGGCTTTTACAAACATGCTAAATGTAACTGAAACCCATTTCACCCAGACTGTAAAAAAAACAGAGGCTCAAATTATGATGTCATGTTTAAAAATTCACAAAACAAGGAAATTTCTCTGGCATTTCAGAAACAGACTTGCCTCTTTTGTTTGTATTTCTTTATAACTACAATACTAGATTTTATATTTAATAAAGAACTGTTTTTGGTTTAAAGGTGCTGAGAGGAAACCCAAGAAAACAGGTCACCCAGATGCAGCTCCATCATTGTTCAAGGTCAAAAAAGAATATTCATTATGACGTTTTTATAAATCAAAAATGTTAAAAATCAAGGAAATTTACCTGCATTTACACTTTTTTGCTGTGTCGAAAAAGTACTGTTTGTGTTTCAAACCTCAACAGTGAATTTCGTGAACCGTTACACCCATAGTGCAGATAATGGCAGCCAAACTTTAGTGCATATTTTAATTACTTCTTTATCAGTCATCCAAAAAGAGGGGTGTGCTCCCCTAGTGCTGAAAGGGTAAAACTTTAATCTGACTCTTCAATCGCCAAAGGAGGCAAAGCAAATAGATACATTTAAAAACTGTCAGTGGTGATTACTGCTTTGGGTGACACCTAAGATGAAATTGTGTGTGCTCTCTAACAGTGCCCATATTGACAAAGACTAAATTGATTTTAAAAAATTCAACTGGCAAGTAGAAGCCCGATGCTGCTGGCGTCTACAACGTTGTTAATCAACTTGAAAGAGAAAATTGATTACTAGGTAATTGGGTTTACAGAGAAAGGCACACTGCTAATATAGCAGCCACTGATCTGATTCTTTATTTCCCAGAGGAGCTCAGCTAGGGGCAAAAAAATGAACAGTAATGACTTAATTAGATTTTAGCATGACTCTAATCTGCATATGATTTTTATGTCATTGAACACACCATGTATTTATCTTGTGTGGAGTGCCTACTTATTAGCATGTGTTGCATTCAGGTGACTCAGTGCATAAGTGAGAGAAAGACAGTTCCTACACTATATTATATAAGCTCCATATTTATACTTTCTATTTATATAGATGTAGCATATCACAATGCAATGTTAGAGCTAACTGTGATATGAAAATACATGTGTAGAAGTGTACAGCGCCTGTAGACAAAGAACTTCTATGACATTTTCCCTCCCTCTTTGGGTCTCGTTTCTCAGTTAGGACTCTATTTTTGTCCCCTTGTCTCCAAACTAAAAGCAGAATATAGTCAGTTTCTGTCTCTGTCTTGCCCCTACATCTGCTCTCTGTGCCCACTGGACACTAATCACCCTGACAGGGCTCCCTATGGTACACGCAAATGCACTGCCTCTACTGCTGGACTCTTTTTGCATTGCTATGATTTGGTAGAAGATATCAGCACACATGAAAGCATACAGTATATACAGAGCATGATATACACTTCATATGGGCATTGATATAAGCTGAAAAGCACGTGTGTGTGGTCTGTCACTGCCAAAATAATTTAATTATCATGTGTTTAAGTATGTACATTTTGTGTAGATGGATTCTGTGTATAAGATTTCAATGCTGTTTCAGTGGCCTAATTTGTATTCAGTAAAGCCTGTAGTATTACATGATGCTTTTCCTTCTCTTTCCCAGACTGTCATCACCTTGTCATTTCCTTACTGTTACCAGTGACAAACAGTGACCATGGCTGCTTTCAACAGTGCAGCAATGAACACTGAACAAAGACACACACCCACACAGAATGCAGCCAGTTGATTGATAAGACGCCACAGTCTCTACACTACAAACTGAAATGTACTGTGGAAAATTGGATCAATACAGCCATCTTCCAATGTGCTGTGAACTGCAGTGAATTGTCTTGGGGTTAGCGTTGGTATCAGCTTTAAAGCGACTGAAGTCTTCCAGACAGTAAAAACCAATGTGATGTTCAAGTGTCGTCAGTACTGACCTTGAAAATTATATTCAAAGGGCTGAAGTAGAATAAGTGCTTTCTAGCTGCTGCAAGTCAACACTGCTGATTTTACTTGGGTTATATTATTTATTGTGGGATTTACAGACACTGCTATAAAAGCCTGCTATATTTTCTTACAACCCACCTGTAGCAGCTGCTGTTTGAGCTTCTGCATCTCCGACAGGTTGAGCTCACTGAACAGGTCAGGCACGGGGTGCAGGCCTTCTCCTTTCCGGCCTGGTCGGTATTCCCCGTTCATCTTAGCCAATCCGGTGCCTGTGTGAACGTGGCCGTTGCGGCGGTTGCAGTCCTCATTGTTGCCGTTAGCAGCAGGGATGGTGGTGCCGTTGGTGCCATTTGTTCCGTTGGTCTCGTCAGGGAACTTGAGGCCTTCAACACCAGTGACGGTGAGTGCCAGATGGGCCCCGGCTCCGTAGACGCTGTCGCTCAGGCTGAGGTGGTGGGCCAGTTCCTTTCTTAGGTTGTTCTTCTGCTCGCGCTCATTCTTGAGGGCGTCCAGGGCCTCCTCCAGCTGACCCTCGGAGATGTCCTTCAGACGTAATGCATCCTCCAGCTGACTGTTGAGGAGAACGGTCTCCTCCTCGAGTACTTTAATTTCATGTTTTAGTCCCTCATACTCCACCTGAGGAGCAACAGAAAGGACAGGCCAGAACAGGAGAAAGAAAAGGGTGGAGACCATTGAATTTAATTACATAATTCGCTAACACGAAATAGCAGCAGATGAGTTTTAAAAAAGCACATATTAACAGAGTGTGGACTCGAGTCACGTGACTTGGACTCAAGTCAGACTCAACACAAATGGACAACTTTAGACCCGACTCGACAAAATCAAAAAGACTTGCAACTCGACTTCAATACACTTGTGACTTAACTTGGACTTGAACCATTTGACTTAAAAATAATTGATAACTTCCCCCAAGGCCAATTTGGGAAGAAAGAATTATGGACATTTTTTCAACATGAGACGAGTTAAAGATAAAGAAACAGGACAAAACCATATAAAATAATTCTGTTGTGGTACTGGTTGAACGTGCTACATAAAAGTGCAATGTCAGCACAACTTTTATTCTAACTTGTTTCGACAGATAATACAAACCTTAAAAACCATTCATAATTTTTGTAAATGTAATAATTCATTACTCTGATGTTAAAATAGCATTACAATTGGTGAAGAGCACATTATGACTTGTTTAGGACTCAAAACTCAAGGTTTAGGGCTTGGGACTTGTCAGTCTTGACTTGTGAGTTGACTTGTGACCTGACTTGCAAAACAATGACTTGGTCTTACTAAGACTTTTGAAAGTGTTTTCCCCTTTAAAATATTTGTTTTCTGTTATCATTATTATCATTATTATTATTATAATTATTTAGAGCCAGGTGATATGGACTAAAACCAAACACCACACTGCTTTTGATTCAAAATCTTGAAATGTATAATGTGACAAAACCGTATTTGAGTGATGAGTGGTGCTTTCAGACGTAACTTGATCCAAAAATGTGTCTAGATTTTGTTGTTACAAAATCATTTGCAATTTGCATTTGCTTACGAAGCAAGATAAGGCACTCATTTTTATTACATTTCAGAAAAAAACATTGTTTTTAACTTACTTTTACTGTAATGTAAGATCAGCAATATTTAAGTCTTACATCATAAAAATGACTCTACATTGACTTATGACTTTAATCTACTCGCCCATACAGACACTGTATGACACTGCTGGGGATACTGTGGCTCCTAAAGGGAAATGAAGGATGATGAGCAATTGGATGAGAGCACAGTTTGATCCAGTGCATCCTAGATCTAATACTGAAAACATAAAGAGAACCACACTTGGAGGTGGTTTGGAAGTGATACTGGGAAATTGAGTGAGTCACTTATTTCAGCTGAGATGGAGTTTATTTAGTGCCTCATCACTGAAGGCGATGACAAATCTGTCTGAGGCAAAGCTTCCTGGTGTGCTGAGAAATTAGCTGACTGAGTTAATGTGTGAGTGAGAGTAACTAATATGATGAAGGTCTCCACACTGACCTGACTCTGCTTGAGTGTTGACACCAGTTTCTGCAGCGTAATGTTCTCCTCCTCCAGCTCAGTGTAATCCTGAAGCAGCCGCGTCTCTCTGAACTTGTACTCCTTGATCTCCTCCCTCATCCGGCTCCTCTGCAGCTCCAGCATCTCGTTGTTCTGGAGAGAGAAAATGGGATGAAAAAAGAAAAGTGGGGGAAAAAGATGGGTACAAGAAAGAGAGAGGGAGAAGAGGATTGGGAGTCAGCTCATAACCTGAATCCATAACCAACACAGCATTGCTCACAGAAAGTAATATCACTCATACATACTTACAGTCTCCTCTAAGACACATACTGCACTTCTCCTCTCTGATATCATAAGGATGATGAGATTTTTTTTTTTGCTAAACAAATTTCATTTTCTTAAATGCAATGAGTCAGCACATTCACACTCCCAGAAGGATCATTTCAGGTCACCTGCTGTGCACAGATAGAAACATGAGCATATGCTGGACCATATAAAGTGTCGATGAGAGAAATGCAGCAGATACAAAGGTCATAAATCTGGGTGTAGTAGGCGGCAGTGCTGGGAATATATGGAGAACTCAGCAAAATTATCTGTCACATATACAACCACTAACTGCTAACTTTTATTCTAAGGAAAAGGGAGATGGATGAATATCCTCTCTGTTAGCTTCAAAAGAGCTGACCCTGGCAAATTAAAGCAATCCCCATGTTACTTTTAAGTCAATTTCACCATTAGTCCAGGTCACTTAAAATTAGGGCTGCCCCTTGAAAGTCAGAGATTCGGATCATCTGTACTTCTGGGCAGTTATGTAGTGGTAGTTCTGGGTAGGTTACCGAGGAGGTGGTGGGTATACTTTCCTATGTATTCCAATAGCTTTTCTGCTGATAGGTGGGTTTACCGTGAACAGCCAGAGAAAGAGGTGGGTATACCTGCGTATACCCTGCACTTAACCACTGCTTCTGGGGACATTTTGGTACCCAGATTTAGCTGCAAAGTGAGCACTCTTGACTGTCATGCTTCTCTACAGACAGCTGCGGACATGATGCAGGGGTAGGGCTCAGAGATAACATTGTTTTCTTTCTTCTGCTTGGGAGTGGTGAATTTACAGCTCACAGATACTTAATAGGATATAGTTTCTGGCTTTTGTTTGATGTCTAGTATCGGCAATAAATGTTGTACATTTCCAACCCGTTGTCAGCGCTATTAGCTTGTCAACTACTACTCCTTTACTTGTTTACATGAATGAAGGTCACTGTCACACTGAACGTCTAGCTAACCCCTCTTCAAACCTTCAAACTTTATATGGAAAAAATAAATAAATCGTCGAATATTAGTGTCAAACAGCTGAATCTGATTTGACTGACATTATTTGGGTGCAGCCCTACTTAAAATGCATTACAGTAGTAGACAGTGGACACTTGTTCTCATGCACTGTTCGTACATATACTTATGAAAAGTAATGCATCAGAATTGCCATATAACCTACGCAATCAAGAACGTTGCGATCATGTGGCCCGTTCTCTGGCAAGAGTAAAGGAGGAGGTAGCAAAGACCTAAAGTCTGCATGAAGAGGAAAGTCAGGATGATGGATTGGTCAAACAAACACAGGATATTATCCAAGGAGACCTGTGTTCATTGCTCCGTGTCACACAAAGTAAGGTAAGTCATCACTATGTTTCTTTTACGTAGCATTAAGTATGTAACTTATCATTTAGTTTGTAACCTGACAATGCCCAACTATGTTTCTTTTCCTAAACTTAACCTACGTAACTTTACTGGCCTAAACCTATGTAATGCTAAGTACATAACATGACGATGCCATTCATGGGGCGCTAATTTGTTTCATTTGAACCACTGCACGTGTGTTTTCGTAAGATACACGAACTGTTGTATGAGGTTATGTTGTCTCCTGTATTTCCTAAAGATTAACTACACAGATTATCATTATTATTATTATTATCATTGCATCACTTTTACTCCGCCCACTTATGACTAGGAATGGTCAAAAGTGGGCAGACCAGACCAGACCAGAACAGGTATGAGGCTCCTCTTTTTAAACACAGACATGACTTAATGTGTACAGTACAATGTCATTACTACTGGACAACAGTATCATTAAGTAGAGAATATAAAATAATGAACAACGTACAGTATACGTGCGCATGTGTGTACTTCTCTTACTGCAGAGCTGCCTGCAGCTTCCCTGCAGCTCTCTGTGCATATGGCAGAAGTGCTGACCCAGACACAGAGTCAGGAGTGGGTGGGTTCACTCACAGGGGGGAAGAAACTCAGAGACCTGAGACACATATGGTCTCCTCTTTGCTTTGAAGCTCCAGTGTGTGTGTGTGTGTGTGTGTGTGTGTGTGTGTGTGTGTGTGTGTGTGTGTGTGTGTGGATGGCAATGGTGCTTTCAGAACTGGCAACTGGACTGAAACTAAAGACCATCATGATGCAGTGAATCTTTTGATTTGAACAGTGGCTGACAGCAGCTCCTATACTCTTAAAGCTAATGGAGCCTCAGCTGCAAAGTACATAGAAGTACAGTGCGACTGCACTGAGAACATTTTCTACTCATCCAGGAAAAAATAACGAAAACCAAATGACATTTTCAGAGCAAAACTTATTACCATAAATAACAAATCATACAATATTTTAAATGCCATATTATTATTGACTGTAATGACCCTCCGTTGCTACATCTTGTCCACTTACATATTTATGACAATGCGGGTGATTACATTGAGCCGGGTATGAAGTGCACTGGATTAGAGGTCAATTATCAGTCAGAGAGTCTCTATAGAAGCGTAGCTGATCGGGGGCTACAGTGGCCGGGGTCAGGGACAGTGCGGCACATAACAACTGGCAGTGAGCCTGCCACAGGGCAAAGCTGGGCGACTCACCCCTGATCTGAAGTTCACAGAACAGACTGTGACTGTGACAAGCTTTATTGGATTCATGATACAATGGCAAATATGGCTGAAGTCCAGCCATGTAGTATCCATTCATCATTGTTACCACCACTGTTGCTGCAGTAATGGGAGGATAAATAGAAAATGTTGACATAAATATATAATGATGTGGCTTTTATTTGGAAGGTTTAAGTATTTCTTAAGCTTAGGCAGATGCCAAGATGTACTGTGAGTGACTGTCTTCTGCATGGGAGGGATTGGGATGCTGCGAATTCATAAACACTTAATTATCTTAATCCTTACATGTTCTGACTTACAACTGCAAACTTCCTCTGGCTGACATAAACTATTCCCATACGTTTTTCCTTGATGAATATGTATATGTTAATAGTGTTTGTGAGGCTTGCTTGGAACCTTTTGATCAGACGCCACTCATGACCAATGAAGCCCCCAGCGTGGCTGCAACACCTGCTTCTCACCGTGAAAAAGCAAATCCTTGTCATTAATGGGCATCACGCATGCAAATGAGGATTTCAAAGGGAGCCAAAAGCCATTTGATGAACACATCAAAGAGCCACGATCATGATGCAAACAGGAGTCAGGTGTGTATGTGAGGAATACCAACTCATCACAAACATGTTCATCAGGTGGCAGGTTTCATGAAAACACTGATTTGTTCAACACACTCTATAATGTGAAATTTCTTGACTAATTCACCTGACATATGACACGTGTCATGTTCACAAAAAGACACGCACTGAGTGTAACAACCTCACAACAGTCCCTGATAAACACGGTGAATGAGAGTGTGCGTCCTGTGGGTGTGCTGCCGGTTGTGTGATGAGAGCAGCCTGGCTCACTCTGTCCCTACACATGTGCCGAGCTCAGGGCATTTCACTTATTCCCCAGCTTAGCACCGGATTTGCCCCCCACAATGGGGTCGTGGCCGCGGCGTCTGACCCCAGCTCGAACTCCTGCGCTGCCCGACACAGCGGCTGCAGATATGTATGAATGCGTAAACGCGTGCTTTCCATGTTCACACATGCATACTTTTTTCTGTGTGAGGTTTGACCCCCTTTCTGACACTGTCACCCTTTGGTGTTTATCAAACATAATCATCTCATGTAAGTACAGGAAATAATATGAATGTGGGAAATAGGTCTTAAAATTCAAGAAATTACAATGATAAATGACTGCAAAAATAAAATATCTTTATTTGTTGCATTTTTTTCACAATATCAAGTTACCTTTTCCAAAATTCTTCAAAAAGTACTTTTTAAAATTCTGGTATCCAAAATGCATTCAGTGACCAAACTTTCAAAATACAGGAGATCTTTTTCTGAAATTCTACAACCACCACACCTCAATGCAACTACAACTCATTTTACGCAACTTTTACTATTTTAATGCATGCATAAATATAAGAAAAACACATGAGAAAACTTTATGGTACTACTGAAATGACTGTATATCTAAATGTATGAGTTCCACAGCTAATACGATGCTGTTTTCTCACATATATCTATGCCTGATTACTCTATATTTCCTTGTCTGGTATGAACTGATAAATCTGCAGAGGGTGTACTCTGCAGCTGTTGACAAGCTCACCTCTCGTAGCTCCTGCACAAGCGCATTGAGCCTCTCGTTCTCAGCCTGGGCGTTGGACGCCACAGAACGGCTCAGCGTCACCTCCGTCTGCAACTCCAACAGACGGCCCACGTAGTAGGCCTCCTTAGAGGCTGACTCCTGCAGCAGCGTCTCCTCATTGGTCTCCCCATCCTCTGCCACCTTACGCTGGTTGGTGTAAGCCTGACCGAACGCCTGGAGAGGAAGAAAAGAAGAAAAGGTCAGACAAAGAGGGCCAGTGCAAAAGCAACGCAATATTAATCAAATTTAAAAAAAAGGAATAAAACAACCAACAGCCATCTTTCGCAAAGTCAAAATTGAAGTGACACTGATCCAAATCCTGTCATATAACATCTACATCCTAATCCATGTGAGGGATTTGCACCCACGGGCATGTAGAGTAAAACCAGCACATCTTTCACAGCTACGGCCACTAGGCGTACTCCTGCTGCACTTTGGACCACCGGCAGCACTGACAGCACACTTTGCAGGGGCTGTCCCTCAAGGATACCTGCTTTCTGTCTATGTGGGATGATGTTTCACACTGATCAATAGACACACTGTTCCCATTTTCCTGACACAGGTTTTCGCGGCACTGAGAGCTGACTTGTCATGATAAAGGAGCCAAGGGCTTGATTGAGAAAATCAAAGCACGCATCAACAGCAAAACAGGCCCACCATATTCGTCTCACTGTACCAAACCAGTGCTGCAACAAATGCAGGAAAGCTCTGTGGGCCACATGGACCAACATATACAGTTACTTCCAAGGTTAAGGGAATAACACATCATTTATATTGTATAAATGTGCAATCCTGCACTATTTTCCAGACAGTGTTGCCTAAATGCAGACAGATTTTCATGACTTGTAACACCACACCCCTCCACACACATGCAGCAGCTTCCTTTGTGGTTCAATAAATACTATGAACCCTCCTTTCACTTCTCAGCAGATCAGCAGGAAAAAAATGGGTATGTTGCCCACAGCGGCCCCTCAGAGAGACAATGGATCAATACTGCTGTCTCGGAAAATATTTTATGGTTTACAATAGCCACATGAAACTGTAAACAATGCAACATGTATAGTGTTTGCAGTCTTCAGGACGCAGTTCCTGGACAGAGTTACCTGACTGAAACGAGACTGCAGCCTAAATCATGAGGGAGCCATATATTTTGGATTAGGGTATTCATAATTCACAAAGACTCGTCCCAATCCCACCTCAACATAATAACAACATTTTCTCTGTTTCTCCCCGGGATGAATCATTCATAAGATACAAGCATCTATTATTTGGAGAAGACATGAGCTCCAGTGTGCAGCTGTCCTTTCTTCCCGCCGTGCTGGTCATTTTTCATTTTTCTATTTACTTCTGATTCATGAGCTAACAGATTAAGTAAGCAGCGTGGAGTGTGCTGAGGTCCTTTCGTCAGACAGGGGTAATTTTTTACAGCCAGAAATCTATTTTAGTGCAGATTTTGAAGTATACAGACCATTGGCACAGAAAGGAGAAGTTGTCTTATGGATATTTAGCCTCTATGATGATGATGAGTTATGATTCACACCTCTGTGTTGCTGCTTAATAAAGTGGTGTGTAGTTTTGTGTGGATGAATGAGATGAACCGATTTACCGGCAGATCATCACCTAATTAGCTTTATTGATCACCTGCCTCTGTCACATCTGACCTGCTGTTTGAACACTCATCACCAGCCAGCAGAGCAACAGTACGCTGGTAAAACAGCACAAATAAATCAAAAATAATACACCAATTTTTCCAATCTGTGTCAATGTAAACTCACAGTTCATTTGCACGCTGTTAATCAGGTAAATAAAGACCTATTTATTATCAGAAAGGCACTGATTCCCTTGGTTGACGTGTTTATTCTAATTCAATCGACTCTTTTGTTTGTCCTGTCAGTTACAAACGTAACAGTTAGCATATGAATAAAAGCCAGTAATAATCAGTCCAGGAAAATGGCTGTAAATACACATTTCAATGACAAAATCAGCCCTCAAGGACTTGCTTTATAGTAGAAAACACTCATGCAAAAATACCGTATTATAATTATCCCTCATTTTCCCTCTCTCACTGCTTCTCTTTTATTTCGTTGTCTCTTTCACACTCTCTTGTTCACTCACCCTCGCGCCCCCTCGCTCCCTCTCCGGGGAGGCACAGTGCGATTGTAGTGAACGATTACGAGGGAGGGCCTCAGGAACAAAAAAGCTGATTAATTCCAAGCACAGTGTGACTGAATGAGCTCGTATTCTCACGTCAGATGGGAGGCTGTCGATGTCCGAGCAGGCCTCGCGGCAACAGCTGAGCCCTGCGGTGGGGTGAGCAAAAAATCTGGACCCGCAGGGTCCCGCTGTTGGACTTCTAGTAACATGAAGTCACAGAGAGAGGACCTTTACACTTACTGTACTGTGACTGGGGGCCAGATCAACAGAAAGGGCTGTTTGTTTGGAATTTTTTGGTAATGATGCTCAATGATGAGTCCTTCATATAAGCATAAATTACAAAATATTCCAAACATCTCAATGCATCATTGTTATATGTCTTAAAGCAAACATGTGGAGCTTTGTTAAATCTTTGAGGAGGTGGACATGTGCATATAAAGCAGAACTTTGGCCCTGAACCATGTGTAACATCCCGTTTATATATAGAGAGCTGGTATTCTTCCTCTAGCCATTGAAATCAGGCGATTCAACAATATTCAGGAGGAAAATAGAAAATGTGAGCTGTGTGATTTGGGTAAAGTAGAAAGTAAGTCCCATTTTCTTTTATATTGCACAAACTATGATGACTGAGAACTTATATTCTACAAAATGGCTCGTCTAAATCCTGACATTTTCTGGTGCTCAGATGACCAAAAGCTAGAATGGTTGGTTAATTCTGATGTGTTTAAGTTTGCAAATTTCGTTGCTGAAGCCTGGAAGAGAAGGAAAGAATGTTTGCTATTAGTATTTATTTTTTATCTATTTCTTTCAGCTGAACATAAAAAATATGTTGTGCATGATCCACAACCTTGGTCTTCCTTGGTCTTGCTTTTGTTACTTTGTGTCATTTTCTCTCCTTTTAATGCTGAATTTATGTTTGCTGTACTCTGATCCTGGCTTGCACTGAATTTATGGCTGCCGGACAAGTCCCTGCGGGCTGGGTTTATCTGTTTGCATGACACGATAATAAAAATTCACTGATTCATTCATTTATTCATGTGGGAGAACATTGTTAGTCATCTTCTTGTCTAGAGTAAGGTGAGAAGATTGATACCACTCTCTAGTCTGTACGCTAAACTTGAAGCTTCAACCAGAAGTCAACCAAGCAGTTAGCTTAGCTTAGCATAAAAACTGGTAGCAGGGGGAAACAGTTTGACTGGCCAACAGTAACAAAATCCACCAACACTTCTAAAGCCCACTAATTAACACTTTATATCTTATCTAATTAATATAAAAGGGAAGTGCATGTGCAGGATCACATTTTGGCTGAAAGGAATGACTTCCTTAAGTCTTGCTGAAATTAGCTTCCCAGGCAATTAGCTTAGACTTCAGGAAGTTACAGCTCCCGGCAAAGACATAGGCCCAGTCTGATACACAACTTCCTGTAAAACCACAACTTGTTTTTACTTACGTTTTTTTGTACAAATTAAAAAATGAGATATAATGTGTTAATTAGTGGGGCAGATTTTTTGCCTTTGCACAGAGCCAGGCTAGCTTCCGTTTATGCTAAGCTAAAATAACTGGCTGCTGACTCTAGCCTTACATTTAACAAGCAGATATGCAATGTAGCCCGTTTCCTTAAATGTCTATAGTTTTAACAGGATCAGCTGTACAAGAGCTTTGCCTAAATAAAAAATAACCCTAACTTATGACTAAGTTCAGGAAATACCTGATCAAAGAATAAGTAAAGAAGAATCTGGACAAGTACTTTATGTCAACTTTCAATACTCTACAGATACATCTCATTCAGTATCTAGGCCTGATAAACAGACAGTCAGTGATTCAGGGGCAACTCATCCGCAGAGAATCATTGGGTCCTGGATGCGTAACGAGAGGCAGATGGTTTCATAACAACCCTCCTTTATGGGCTGAGCCGTGCTCCTCGAAAGTCCGCTCGCTCCATCTGCCCACTGCTCCTCTTAAAGAAGCCATGGCGAGTGACACTAATGGCTGAGGCTCAACACTAACACATAAAGGAGCACAGTATGCTACGGCCATCCTGATGCTGTTGCGCTACAGTTTCTGGTGGGCTAAAAACAACACTGACAGCTCTGTGTTTTTCAGGCTAATTATATGAACGTCACTAACAATATGGCTGTCACTGCTGTATCATTATAGTGATGGATTCGCATGCCTGTATCTGTGCCCTAATTGGCAAACACAACACAGTTATTCGAGCCAGATAACATGTGAAGAACAGAGCGGGAGATTAAAGTTTAATACCATTTCCTCAGGATGGTTTTAATGTGGAGTCACTGATTGGCGGCCTGTGCTAAAAACCCCTTAATGCATTCAACCTTGAGGCTCCTCTGCCTTCTGTGCCTCAGTGGATAAAGTCCAAACAATAGAGTCCCCCTCTATAGATATTCATCCCTGGGGCCTTGGAAAAAAAGGAGCGAGGAGCGGACACAGGGAACACAACAACCAATGCATCAGTGTGAGAGGAGGAGTGTGTGCAACCCTGAAATCCTTCCCTGTCTGTTGCAGCTCCTAATTAGGAGTCAGGGGAGGACCTGTGGGTGTGTGTACATACACCAGGAGTCTATTTTTACAGCCAGGAGGGAGAAGAAGAGTGAATTATTTCTACATCAGCAATTAATCTCCACAGAACTTTCATAATTAGGGTCCAGCTCCGGGTCTACCCTGCCAGTTTATTTATAGACAGTAATGTTAAGAAAGCAAGGGGTCTAGACTTGATTACATTTTCAAGGTCAGAGAGCAAGCATGGACACAGGCAAGAATAACAACCGTTTCTAGAGATCTATTTATGAGCCCTTGTGTATTTAAGTTCTAATTAATGAGGACTTTAATTAGAGGATTGCCTAATATATTAATAATGACCGTGACACTGACTATTCTTAATTAAATGTTAATCACTGTGCAGTCAGAAAGAGTTGTTATTAAATGAGGATTTAAATTGTATCATGATAGATGTGGATTAATTCAAAGCAATTACTTGTGCTATTTCATTTATATTCATA